CGGTAAATAATGTTGCTGAAATCATCAAAATACCGACTATCGGGAGGTACCGTTATATTGGGACTATACGAAGACGTGGACCTGCATACGAAACTTTTTGTTGTAGGCTGTAGTTCCCATTACGAACTTCAAATACGAAGTTTGTTACAATTACTGTAAATAATGTCGCAAAAATCGTGAAAATACCGACTATCGGGAGCTACCGTTATATGGGGGCTATACGAAAACGGGGACCTTCATATAAAAACGAAGATCTGAATTTGCATACAAAAAGTTTTGCATAGGCTGTAGTATCTTGTAGTATCTTGGTATCTTCCAGTTCGAAATTTGAAACGATGCCGGTGAATAATGTTACTGAATCATTTAAAACCCGATTATCGGGAGCTACCGTTATATGGGAGCTATACGAAGACTTGGACCTTCATTCAAAAATTTTTGATCGTGTTGACTTGCCAAAGAATTCTGCTGAATATGTGCACAAAACTAAAAAGAGTAAATATTATGGCGTTTGACTTTGTTGCAGTTTTTTTATCTCACCCTGTATTCTTGATCAGCGTAGAATTCTAAGACGATTTAGACCTGTCCGTCCGTTCGTCTCCTTTAGACATCAAGTAGTATTTCGCTGTCATTCGGAAGGACAACAGCCGCAATATCGTTTGCAAGCGCATATCGTTGTGCATAGAGAGGCATATTGTTGCCAAACTAAGAATAAATCGTTGCATTTAATTCTAAGGAAAACTCTTGGGTTTCTATTTATCTTTTACATTCCACCCTACGGTCCACTGCTCGACGCATTCGTCCTTTTACTCCCATCGGCGGAGCCCCTCCGAGCTAAACACCCTACGCCATGAAATGGAGGGTATTTTAAATTTGTCATTCTGTTTGCAGCTCTTAGAAATAACCGTCGAAGACCCCATAAAATATATTATTCAGGATGCTATTTTGTTTAAATCGCCATTGAGTGCGCATTATTAAACAATAGAGTTTTAAAAGTTTGCTAAGGCATTTAAACTGTTCTTAGGTTCTTTGGTATGGAAATATGTCAGTGCAAGTTATATAATTGACCCCATATAGTAGTAACTTCAGATATTTGTATTTTGGAACTTTATGCCCCAATTATATCTCAAATAAACTGGTAATTTCACACTTTCGTTTTTCAGCTTTTTGAGTTAGAAATTTGATGGGTTCTGTCCAGATTTCCAGCTAATTTAGCTGTAGTTGTATATTTCGGTTTTTTTCCGGTAAATAATCAATGTAGGTATAGCCATTGGCCATAAGTCATCATGGTGGGTGACCGGATTTTACGTCGTTTTTCCTTGCAATGCCCTTTACCATACTAACTCCTTGAAATCGGCATAAAACTCCCTGTTTGTCTAGATATATCCGTCTTAGGAAATTCGCCAAAATGCAAGTGTTTTGAGGGGTTTTTGGAAAAAAAAAATTGGTAGATTGTGTTCCCTGTATATAAAAGATAACCTTAAAGAGAACTGTCCAAGATTTTTGGAAGGCCCTATATAACCGCATCTACGATATTCTCTCTTTGAATGATTTTATTCACATTATTCAAAGGAATTATATCAAGGATGCTTGCCGGTGTTCTCAGTAGGTTTACGTCATCGCGTCTGACAGGAGATTATCTATACTGGCCCACGATGTTGTATAACCCCCATATAACTTCTACTTTCGATATTCTTTTTTTTTAATGAATTGTGTTACATTATTCAACAATGGACAAATATGGGAAATGTTCCGACGAAAGTAGTAGAAGCATTTATGAACTACAAATATCGATAGAAAACATGATCTTATTAATCAAAATACCAATCATCTGGAAGTACCGGGTTAGAGGTGTTACAAGCGGAATGAGAAATTTAATAAATCCTCATTTCCAGGTTGGAGGATAAAAAGACGAACTTTCAGAAAGCTATAAACTTTCGATCTTGTATTTGGGACTATTTTTATATTTAACCAGATTTATCATACAACCCTCCATTTATTTATACAATATAACTTTTAATAAAGTTGTGCATTTTGTTGTTGTTGTTGTTTTTGTTTGGTTACCGAAACTTTTATTGTGCTTCAGTATTCGGGTAATTTATAAAAGTCCTGTTCTCGTTATATTTTTTTGTTAAGGTTTCGTGATAATTTGTAAATTATTACGAGTGTTGGCAATTTATGCACAAACACCAAAAGCAGCTTCTCATCACCAAATGCTCTTAACGTAAAAACTACCAGAAGCATTATCAGAAACCCCTGCCTCCACCTCCCGCTTACGACTTCAAACCAATTTCAGCGACAAACATCAGCGCGGAAGTAGTAGTACTAGTAGAGCAAACTGGGAATGAATGGGACGGGGAAATCGCTAGCAACAGCACTGACATCATTGTGTGTCATTGTTGTATTATAAACTTATTATTATGCTAAAGGATTATCTGGTTTTGTTGTTAACAATAACAGCCTGTATAACAAAGAGTGACAAAAAAGTGAGAATTCTATGGGGGGAGGGAAGGTGGGTAGAGTGTGGTGGTGGGAGTATTCAAAATTAGGTGGTTGTGGCGTTTTTGGTAATTTTCATTCGTCGTCTAAAAAAAACCAAAGAAATTTCAACGAATTTAATTTAAATGCATATCTCTCTCCAAATGTTGTTTTTGTTTTCGAGTTTTTCTTCATTTGCTTTATCCGATGCCATTAAAAGAAACACGAATATTTATTGTCATTTGCGTGTCGCATTAAGTATGAACAATTTGTCAGATTTTATTCAAGTCATCAGTCAGAGAATAATGATGAACAGAATTCAAAGAAACATAAGGACGAAAAAAAAGAAAGAAAAACAACCATTCCCAAGGACTTCTTTTTGTGCAGTTTGTAACAAATTTTTCAATCAAAGTGAAAATTTCTGGATTTTTAATGGTGGAATATCGAGTAACATTTAATATTTCATTATCTGAAGTTTATTTGCGGAATAATTGGTTTGTTCTTCACTATAAAATGGAGGGTGTATTATGTTTGTCATTCCGTTTGTAACTCATAGGAATAGTTTATGACCACATGCAAATTTAGCTCTTGGTCAAGGTAAGGTAAATAAGTTGTTATAGCCAAACTTGCCTATTCGGCAGCTACAAATGGGACATGCTGTTAAATTTCCAAATCTTTACATAATGAACATTGACGACTTTATTCGGCAGTAATATTTAAAAATGAAGTAAAAAGAAAACATCAAGTTCGGCCGGACAGAATCTTTACTTTATGAACATTGACGACTTTATTCGGCAGTAATATTAAAAAAAAATAAATAAATAAAGAAAAACATTAAGTTCGATGGGACCGAACTTTGAATACCCCCCACAATTGGGTAAAAACATATTTTTATATAAAGCTATAAAAGTATTCAAACGTGTTCCATTTTAAACCACAAATACGAGTAAGACCGTTTGGATAATGCTCTTAAACTTTTCAAAATACCATAAAGTGGGTGAGGCCGTTATATGGGGGCCATACCAAAACGGGAACCTCTACAGACAAGTATTGTCATCTACCAAATTTTCTTAAATACCAAATTTGAAACAATTTCGTGGGTAAATGTGGCCAGGATTATCAAAATACTGGGTATCGATGGGTATCGTTATATTTGCGCTATAGGAAAACGTGGACCTAAATTTTCAATGATTTGCCACCGAAGCAAGAACCCATTAATAACTACAAATACCAATTTTTAGACAAATCCGTGGAAACAGTGGCTAGAATCAAAACCACCTATAAATACTATATTCCGCCACAGGGGCTAGAACCCATTACGAACTATAAATACAAATTTTTGGAAAAATCCGTGAAAAAATATGACAAAAATACCAAAACGTGGACCGATATATTTTCAATACCAACCATCCTAGACACAACACAAATCGTTCTGCCAAATTTTTAAGCTCTACGTCAAAAATGTGGGCTCTATCGTGATTTCAACAGACAGACGACGGACATCGTTAAATCGATTTAGACTTTATAGGATTGGATTAGACTTTATAGGGTTATAATATTCGTCGTAGGAATATTTAGGGATGTTACAAACGGAATGACAAAGTTAATACACCCTTATATTCAAGGTGGAGGGTGGCACGAGGTTTACTTTCTGTTGTTATTCCCAAAAAACATTTACCTACTTTTTATACCCTACACCACAAGGTGGTCAGGGTATTATGTCTTTGTGCATTTGTTTGTAACAGGCAAAAGGAAACTAGATAGACCCATAATTTCTTTTGATGATCTGCATAGAATTATATTCTGATTAGATTTATGAATGTCCGTTCGTCTGTCTGTCCATATATTTTTGTAAAAAAAGTACAGGTCGCATTTATTGGCCGATTCAGATGAAATTGTTCACAAATAATTTGTTTGATCCCTATTGAAATTGAAGATAATCGCTCAAAATTTAGGTATAGCTCCCACATATACCTTCGTAACAAACTTGTAATATCAGCCCGAATAGTGTGGAATTTTCCACGTAAGACCAGATTGGAAAATAAGTATGCCAAATTTGATCGAAATCGGTTCAGATATAGATATAGCTCCCATATATACTGTTCATTCGATTTGTTATTTTTGTCCTCCGCAACCGTAATATGCACACTGTACCCAGTAAAAAATATTTGGAGTAATCCTCAACCGAGCAATAGAGGAGTAATGATTTCTTCATCCATTTGGAGTAATAAGCGAGCAATGTATGAATTTTGTTTTGCCAAAAAATTCCACGAAGTTGGAAAAAAATTGATGTCTCGCCTTATGCTCCAAATGGATCAATAAGGGATGCATCAAAGCATTTTTGGCATGTTTTTTTTTGTTTGATGTAACTGTTGTTTAACTGTTGCTTTCGTCATGTTCGATTATTTCTTTATGGTTGTCCGTCCATTTGCTCAGTTTTCTTGTGTCCGTCTGAAGTGAAACACGTGTTGTAAGTGTAAATAAAGTGTAATTAAAAAAATTAAAAAAGTGTAATTAAAAAAATCAATTGGTAAAATAATGTGTGATAATTTTGTTTCTAAACGTCATCTTAGACGGCTTGTAAAAAAAGAAATTGAAAATTTCTCAAATTGTACTCGGCAGACTCTTACTGATCAGGAACTTTCGGCACCTATAGAAATTAATCAGTCATCAAATGAGGGTAGCCAATCGGAAAACTTTAATATTCATGACGAAATGAATCCAAATGATACGAGTTTCAGCAGTGAAAAAAAAGATTGTATTGATCGGAAGCTTGCTTCGTGGGTAATAAATAATCGCGTTTCCAACGAATGCTGTAATTCGCTTCTTAGCATTTTAAAAAGTGAAGGTATTAATGTTGCACTATGCAAGGAAACATTGTTGAAAGCGTTATATGCAGAAAACTCTTATTGCCCTAATGAGAGCCCGTCAATATCACAAATGCCACCAGGTGAATATTTTCATTTTGGATTAGAAAAAGCGCTGATGATGCATGGCCAATACTTGCTGTTGAATGCAAAGTCCGAATTACTTCTTGATGTATTTGTGGATGGAATGCCGCTTTATAAAAGCTCATCAACGTCATTATGGCCAATCTTATGTTCTTTCTCAGAGTTCAAAAACTCACAACCATTTTTAATTGCTACTTATATTGGTAAATCAAAACCTCCGGATGTAAAGGATTTCTTAAAAAGATTTGTGGAGGAATACATCTATTTGAAAAATGAAGGTTTTAAAATTGGTGATAAATACTTTACACCCAAAATTAGACTTTTTGTTTGTGACACACCTGCAAGGGCTTTTTTAACCGGTACAGTGGGACACACTTCTGCGCAAGGATGTTCGAAATGTGAGCAAGAAGCTTCATATAAAAATAAGAGACTAAATTATGCTATAGTACCCGGAAATGCCAGGACTGATGAAGCTTTCCTAGCACGAAAAAGTCAAGCATATCACATACAGCAATTTCGTAGCGAAACTCACCCTTTGGAATTATGCAACATTAAGATGGTCACACAATTTCCGCTTGACACTATGCATTTGATTGACCTTGGAGTGTTTAAAAAGATGTTGCGTTTAATTTTACAAAACAAGCATACAAAATCAAAGTTAAATGTAGCGGAAATAAATGAATTAAATCGCAAAATATTGTATATTGCGAAGTATACCCCAAAGGAGTTTGCTCGAAAAGGTAGACTATTTGACGAGGTATGCAGGTGGAAGGCAAAGGAATTCCGGCAAGTTGTGCTTTACACGGGAATAATTATTTTTAAAAACATATTGCATGAGGATTTATATACACACTTTTTACTATTACATACAGCATATCGGATGGTTTCGTGTCCTTCAAATTGTCATAAGAATTTGCAATGCGTTCAACAACTAATGGAAGCTTTTGTTGCCGATTTTGCCTTGATATATGGAAGTGATAAGATCAGTTATAACGTGCACAATTTACTACATTTGGCGAAATGCGTGGAAAACTTTGGAAATGTAGAAAATTTTTCATCATATAAATATGAGAACTTTTTGCAAACCTTAAAAAAAGATTGTCGGAAACCATCATACATTAGCCAACAGCTAAATAATCGATGCATGGAGCGGCATTTGCTTTTGAAAACAAATGATCCTAAATTCTTACCACTTGGGCAAAAACACAGAAACAACTTGTTTATGAGATACAAGTTCGACACATATTTCTTATCCGGAAAATCTCCTGACAATTTTTGCTTCACTATGAGTATGGTTCCAATTAAAGTATATGGTTTCTTGGTAGATAGCGGCGAAGAATACGTAGTCGGTAACGCATTTACAGATGCAGTAAGCTTGTTTCAGTACCCAGTGGACTCTAAAAAGTGTTTAGGAATTTGTAAGGCGAAAACACTAAATATCCACCGAGAGAAAATTAACATGCGTGACATATATTGCAAGATATTTTGCGTACCTGATGGGGAATATTTTGTATTTATTCCTATTCTACACCACTGTCAAATTTAGTAAATACTAATATTTAAACTATATTTCAAACTATTTTTCTACCTTAAGAACCATGAATTTTAATGCGAACATATTCCAAACTCAATCAGTTTTTACGGATGAAACTGTACAAAGCACACCGAATAATGTCGCAGGTAATGTTAACTCATAGCTCTTTTTATATTTTTTATCATAGTAATTATTTGATTTTATGTTCATTTCTAGAAACAAACAATGAAACAAAAAACACCAATAAAAAATTGGAAAACAAAATTGATCTCCTTCAAACTGAAGTCGAAGCTTTAAAGAAAATTATGTGTAAACAGACAATTTTGTTAGAACAGGTCGTTAAACACATACGCCCAACTAGCAAGGATCTCAAAATTTTTCCAATAAATTCACTAGAGGAATTAAATTCGGCAGAACAATTAGTTAATAACGAGCCTGAATCAGAAGTGGTAAGCCAGAGTTTTTAATGCATAATTTAAGTGAATTTGGTACTAAAACCTAATTATATTTATCTTTAATTATTTTCAGATATCATATATGAAACTAAAATTTGGCAAAGACAAAATAGAAAAGGCGTTACATGCAATGATTGGTGACAATATTTTGCTTCGGGTAAATTGGGATGGAGCTAAAAATAAGACAGCCATAAACAAATATCGGTTGTTTAACTTTTTTTATTTCGGTAATAGCTTGATTTTATAACGTGTTTTAAATAATATGTACATGATGTTTATTTTTCCTTTATTTTTGCAGAATCACTCAGAGACACCTACGAAACTTATCCTGAATTTGAAAAATCTTTTAAGTTGGCCTTTCGCAAATGTAAGGCAACATTTTACCGGCAAACCTACAGCCTAAAATCTAAATAAATAAAGTATTTAATATGTTTTTTTAATTATAAGAAATTATAGTACAAAAATGAATTATTTGTTTTTTTTTCGTTAAAAATAAATGATAAAATATATATTCTTTATTTTACTCTTTTCTTTTACTTCTTTACTTTCTTTTACTCTTTCAGGAGATAACAAAGATTACTCCCTTGATTCTCCTTTCCGAGATCAAAAGGAGTACTCCCTATATGCTTTTTCAGGAGATAACAAAGATTACTCCCTTTGTCCTCCTTTCCGATATGAAAACGAGTACTCCGTCTATGCTCTTTCAGGAGATAACAAAGATTACTCCCTTTGTCCTCCTTTCCGAGATGAAAACGAGTACTCCGTCTGTCATCCAATGGGAGCTCAAAAGGAGTGCTCGCCTCCTAGGACATGCAATGTTAAAAAAGAGTATAAAATGCAAGAGAGTCGGAGATTTAAGGAGTACTCCATTGCTCGAAAAGGAGCGTCCTACGATTAATCGTTGGATGATCCAATTTTTTACTGGGTAACAACGATATTTGGGGAAACATTTATAACTCATATAACTCAAAAATACCCTTACTAAATTTTATCGAGATCGGTTAAAATTTAGGTATAGCTCCCATATATATCTTCGTCCGATTTGCTTTTTATTGTGCACCACACGTGAAATATTAGCCCAAATGGAATGGAATTTGGTATTTACGACCAAATTGAGTCTAGAAACCATTATGTCACATTTGGTGGAAATCGATTCAGATAAAGCTATAGCTCCCATACATATTGTTCATCCGATTTGTTGAATTTGCCTTGTAAAGCCGTAATATGGACTCAGTAGTACCGATATTCGGGAAAATATATAAAATTAAGCTCAAAAATACCTTTGCCAAATTTTATCGAGATCGGTTCAGATCTAGATATAGCTCTCATATATATCTATCCTATTTCAAGTTAATTGTGTACCAAATGGATAATACAAGCCCGAATTGAAAAGGCGAAAATGCCTCGCAAATTTAGTAGAAATCGATTCAGAGGAGGATAATCCTCCCATATATTAGTTCCTTTGAACTTTTAATTATTACTATAATCATAGTTGCTATGATTTAATTCTCACAAATTCCCCATTCCCAAACTTTTATTTGTTATGTGAAGCTGTACTAAATGTGCAAAGTGGTGTACGGTATCATAAAGTCGGCCCGTCCGACTTTAAGACTTCCTTTACTGGTTTATGGTATATGCATTGATGATCCTGCTACGTGTCAGGTATCCCTCCGTACAAAATTATGCTTCTTACACCCCCACCATAGTATGGAGGGTATATTTAGTTTGTCATACCGTTTGTAACACCTCGAAATATTCATTTTTGATCAGCATAAAATTCTATGTCGATTTAGCGATATCCGTCCGTCTGTAACATTCACTCTAGCTTCCGAATGAAATGAATTTGGTTGATAAAATTTTACTCATATGTGTGTTTGATCTGCAGAATTTTTGGTATTGAAAATGAGCTTTATAGCCATACGTCTTCTATAGCCGCCATATAAAGGTACCTCCCTATTTTCGCGACATAATTTATAGGAATTTTTCATGTTTCGTATTTCGCTACCTCTCTATATTCCCTATTTCAATGATTTCGGCGACATTATTTACCTTAATTGTTTAACATTTCCCATTTACACTTCGTAATCGGACATACAGTCTGTGATAGAAAATTGACTATGCAGGCCAACGTTCTCGTATATCCCCCATACAACGGTATATTTGGTATTTTGATGATTTTTGGGATATTATTCACCGAAAATTTTTCAAATTCGCGTTTGCTGTTACGAATGACAGGTACTACAGCCAGTGACAGAAAATGGCCTATACAGGCCCGTGTATCCGTACAGCCCCCATACAGCAGTACCTCCCCATGTTCGGTATTTTGATACTTTTTGCGACATTATTTCAAGTGTATTTGAATATTGTAGAGGTCTGTGTCAAAATTTGCCATGAAGGTGCCTGTCTTCGTATAGACCCAATATAACGGTATCTCCCTATATTCGACAATTTATTAGTATTTTTCCACGTATTTATCTGTTGTTTTTTAACTCCATGTTTTCCCAATTGGTGTAGGGTATTCAGCTTTTTTTACTTGGCTGAAATGGTCCCCTCGCCGATTTCGGTCGTTTGATAAGGATTGAAAATATTCTCGAGCGGGATTTCTTCAAGTGTACTAGTTTTAAAGAAACTACCTTTCCACTCGTTTGTGTTATGTCGTTTTGATGTTGCTGTGGACCGGGTTAAGAGGTGATTGTGAACGGAAATCAAGAAGGATTAGTTTTTTGATTGATTTTGTGTCCAAAAACAACAAAACAACTACATTACCATATACTGTGCTGTTTCTTTTGTAGCTTTTGGTACTCGATTTCTAGAGATTTTATTCCCACTCAAAAATAAGCCAACAATACAGGCTCTCATTCGTGTAGCATAGCAAGTAGTGTTTACTTCATTTCATTTTTTCTACGCCCAGGAGTAATCCCGCTCTAATTCCAGTTAAGGCTGAATCTTGCTCGAATTTGAGCGTTTCAGAGCCCCCTTTTTATACCCTCCACCATAATATCGAAATATAAATTTTTGATCCCGCAAAGTATATATATTCTGATCAGCATAAAATTCCTATGTCTGTAGAAATCACTGTAGCTTCCGAACGAAATAAAGTAGGTCGCTAAGATTGTACACAGATGTGTATTAGGTTTGCAGTACTTTTGGTATTGAAAATGGTATTCTTATAGACCTCATGTACCTCACGTACTAATAGATTTATGTTGTTTGGGTTTCAAAGCCTGATAAATCACAAATATGACTTATGTAAGCGGCACAGCTTTTATTATAAGTAGTGACTCCAAAGCTATTTCTAAATAGAAATAAATATTAATGGCAAATATTTTAACAGATTTGCCCCTACCGTCGTTTGTAGATATTTTTAATTGCATCATCTTATTTTTCAGCAACAGGCTTAAATTTGAGTGTTAAAAATTTATATGATAAGGAACACCAGTAATAGCCTCATGTGAAAACTCAGCTCAATTTTTGGTATTGTAAAAAGCTTAGCAATACAGGGTGAGATGAAAAAACTGCAACTAAATTTAGACTGCTGTCACTTCAAAGCCACTCGTCCGACAGCTGTTAAAATTATTCCAGTGACAGCTCATTATATTGTTTAATAGCATTTTGTTGAGAATTTTCCAGAAAAAAAGTTATTCGTCGTGGAATTCAAGCGTGAGAATGTGAGAAATCACACTTTCTTTATACTTGGCTGGAAAACCACAAGTGGCTATCGTTAGAGCACTCCAGTATTTAAATATGAATAAATCTTTTGCGTCTCGTACTATCGCGTAGCGTAGCCTGACGTCAAGGAAGTGGATGGAAGAAAACAACAACATCAGCAGAAATGGTTCGAAAAGTAAAGGAGCGACTGATCGAAACCCGTGTCGTAGTGGCTGAAAAATGGCTTGTGAGCTGAACATATCGCAATATGCCATTCAGCAAATATTGAAAAATGAGCTCGGGGTAAAGCCATTGAAATTCCAAAAAGTGCAAGAACTTACACCGCAACAGAAAGAAAATAGACCCAAAAGAGCTAAAGAGTTGCTTCGCTTGGTCGAAAGTGGTGAACTGCCGAATTTGATTTTCTCCGATGGGAGAACATTCGTTGTCCAGCAGTTTGTAAACAAACAAAATGATCGTGTTTACTTGCCAAAGAGGTCACCTAAAAATGTGCACCTTCGGTTGGCCGCAGACCTTGGACATTCGAACAGGACTTAGCACGCACCATCCAAAAATGGTTACAAAATGAGGTCCCTCGCTTCATTTCCAGCGCACAATGGCCACCAAAATCTTTGGATACCATCAAAAAATACCAATGTGTCGATCACTTCAAGCAAGCTCTTCGCCGGAAATGGGCCAAAACACGATGCTAATCCTATTTATACAGCTTAAAATGTCCTTTAAGGATTCAAAAACCCTTTCTTGGAGCTCTGGTTGTCAGAGATATGTTGTATAAATTATCTGTGTGTTATTTTCATAACAGTTTTTAAAACATTAATGTCATAACCATAAATATGATCATATTTTGAAAGACAACCAGAAAAACAATTATTTTTTTTATAAAAAAAAACTATTTAAAGGACAATTAAAGCTATAATTACTCTAAAAAGGATACATTTGTGACTTTTTAAAAATTTTAAATATCAATTATATACTCTGTGCGAAAAATGAAGATTAAAGTCTGCGGACGGGAATTGAATATA